AGGAGAGCAAAGGGCCCAACTTTATATTTATATATTTATGTAAAAATATTTATATATTATATATTTATACATTTGGTAAGTTTTTTCTTTGATTCTAACATTTCTCAAAGTGAATTCCATGATTGTATAGTTAATTTATGAAAAAATGATTTTATGGTCAATTAAATTTACATTAAAATCCAGGACTTCTCACTATGAAGCCAGCATTCTTTCCACCACCCCACAGGTACAATAATTGTTTGCAGTTTCTTTCATTTATTCAAGAAGCATTTGCTAGTTTCTTTCTCCATGCCAGGCATAGTAAACAGGTGAGTTATCAGATATGGGCAGCGCTCTAAGGGAACAGAGAACTTACAAATGACTAAAGAAGTATGAGCACTTGGAAGTGTGCTGTGTTGAGAGAAGTACAAGACAGAGCATACCCACCTAATGTGGTGGGAGTGAGGGATGGTCACGTGACATATCATGGAGAAAGTTACAATTACTTGTAGACTCGGGAAAAGTGAAAGAAGCCTAATAAGTGAGCCTGGAATGTCAAATGGAAGAGGAATTAATAATTGATGAGTCTCGTGATAGGTAAGGGACAGTCATTTTGCAGAAAACCAGGGTAAACCACAAGATTTATAGTCGGATAACAGTGTGACTGGGTAAGCCTTACCAACTCTTTAAGCCTTCTTTTGTAAAAAACAGATATACTTTACAATGTATTTTAAGAAAACCAAACAAACAAACTTCTAAAGACTCTACGCCAATAGCAAATTTCATGGAATTCCCTTTTCGAGATGACTAAGCATGCAGTAATGAAGTTCTGCTTCTTCAGAAGAATATGAGTTTTCTCTGAGTGGCATGACTGTAAGTGACAAAACAGAACAATAGAAAGTCTGTTTATATTTAAAGAATAGAAGTCTTCCTGTTGAAAAAACTAGGCTTTGAGGGACATTTGAACAAGATGTAAGCTGTGAAGCTGGATGTTCAGGAAACAGTTCTTAGCAGCAGTTGGCTGGCATCTGCATACACTCAGTTGTTCTTACTGGAAAGAACACTCCCACTTTTAATTACAAAAATTTTCAAACAGGCAGAAAAATTGGAAAAATAGTACAATAAGCCATATATATCCTCACTTGGGTTTAATGTCACCATATTTGCTTCCTCACTCTCATTTGTCCCTTTTTAAAATATATTTTTGCACTTCTTTTTGCTGCTTCATTTGAGAATCAGATGCAGAAACATGTCATATCTAAATAATTTATTTTTTCTTATTTATTCTTATTTATTTTTTAAGATCTTATTTATTTATTTGACACAGAGAAAGCAGGAGAGCACAGACTGGGGGAGGGAGAAGCAGACTCCCCACTGAGCAGGGAGCCCAGGTGAGTCTCAATCCCAAGATCCTGGGATCATGACCTGAGCCAAAGGCAGACGCTTAACAACTGAGCCACCCAAACATCCCAGGTCTAAATAATTTAGCATAAATCTAATAATAGCAGGTACATGTATAATCATAATGTTAATATATTTCAAATATTTTATTAGACAAGAAACTTATTATGTGAAGACACGGAAAATCTTCAAGAAAATTCAAGTTGTCCATATTTATAATAAGAAGCAATAACCAGCTAATGATTTAGCATTTAACTTCTAAAGCCTTTATATATAAATATATTATCATTACAAAAATATACCATTTTTTTGGTAACTTATATTTCTTTTCATGGTAACTAATACATGATGTACTAGTATATCATATTGCTCTTATTGCTTACAGTATATTCTAATTTATAGATATACTGTAATTTATTTAACCAGTCTTCTCAATGTTGGATTTGCAAGCTCTATTTCCATTTTTTCCCCACTGTTATCAACAGCTCTTCAAGGAACAGGAGACTGTTCTTTTTTTTTAAACAAATTTTACTGCCTATGATCTCCTTGTGGACTTAGAAATCAAGTATACTATGGGTTTATGCCTAATAAGGAAGATAAAAAGCCAAGGACAACTTTTGATGTGACAAGGTAAATTAAATTTTTAAGAGGTTATCTTGGAGAACATTACAGTGTAATTTTAAGAAAGAAGTTGGTGAGAAACACATAGTTCAGAATTTAAAACACCACTAAAAATAATTTTTCCAACCAAGTCCTTCTTTCAACATTTATTAAACAAAAAGGTCTGGTTAATCAGGAACACAGCCACCTAAATGCATTTTTTCCAACAAAAATGCATTTTTCAGGGTAATAAATATTTTAAAAATCCCGTGATTATTTATGCCAGACAACATGATAGTAAATTAGCTTCTTATCAACAGTCAATCAAGATTATGTTTATAAATTATTAAAGTTTCAGTATATTTAATGATTTCAGATCTTGATAAACTTGAAAGAAAGGAAAAGAAAAGATACTGAACATAATATTCTCAGGATGATATCCTGTAAGAAGGAAAAACCTAAGAAAAGGAGAGAACAATAATATAAGAAATTATATCAATCACCTGTTTCTTCTATACAATCAGGACATGGTGCTAAGCCTCTGACATGATTTTAAGTCCACCGGCCCTCAACATGGCTCTCTACCGCTTTTCCTTTTGCTTCTCTCTTTTCTTTTTGTTGTTCTCTGCTTCTGTTTTGGTCCCCAAAACTTCACTTTCCCTGGATACTTCTAAGCAAGAAGACCTCCTTTCTCTCATTAGGATATCCATTATTCTACATCCATCATGTATAATGTTTGATATGTTCTTGATTATAGGTTTCATTTAAAAATATTGAAGAGGGCGCCTGGGTGGCTCAGTGGGTTAAGCCGCTGCCTTCGGCTCAGGTCATGATCTCAGGATCCTGGGATCGAGTCCCGCATCGGGCTCTCTGCTCAGCAGGGAGCCTGCTTCCCTCTCTCTCTCTCTGCCTGCCTCTCTGTCTACTTGTGATCTCTCTCTGTCAAATAAATAAATAAAATCTTTAAAAAAAAAAATAAATAAATAAAAGTATTGAAGAGGCCACGCTAAGATTACAAATACTACTTTGATGTTATGTCTTTTAGCTTTAGCCAAAAAATTTCCAGAATAAGAAATCATGTTCCACTGCTGTCCTTTCCTCTGTCTATGTGTAATAACTGTACTATTGATTCTTTGGCCTAAGTAAGCTAACATTTCCTCACCCACAAAATAGTTACTATGCTAGACATCTACTGCCTGAGGTACTGGGAGTACAGTGATAAAGTCAAATACTCTCCCTCTTGAATAAGAAGCTTTAGCAGTGTAATCCAGTTACATTTTATCATATACAGTCCAGCTACTGAAAACCATTAAGATTCAGGTAAAATAATCTGGCTATCAATATTTAGAGTATTTTTTCAAGTTTTTTCAAGTATTTCTCTACATGATAGACAAAATCTAGACAAGGTTCTGTCAAGAATATTTAATTGTTTAAATATATTTGCTAATGACATACCCAGTTCAGGATTAGTATCCAAAATATGCTAAAAACTCCTACAACTCAAGACCAAAACAACAAATAATCCAATGAAAAAAATGTGCAGAAGACATGAACAGGCATTTTTCCAAAGAAGACATCCAGATGGCCAACAGACACATGAAAAGATGCTCAACATCACTCATCGTCAGGGAAACGCAAATCGAAACCACAATGAGATATCTCACATCTGTCAGAATACCTAGTATCAAAAAGACTAGAAATAACAAGTGGTGGTGAGACTGTAGAGAACGGGGAACCCTCGTATACTTATCGGTAGGAATGTAAATTGATACAGCCACTCTGGAAAACAGTTTGGAGGGTCCTCAAAAAAACTTAAAATGGAAGCACCATATGATCCAGTAATTGTACTTCTGGGTATTTACCCAAAGAAAACGAAAACACTAATTCAAAAAGATGTATGCACCTCTATGTTTACTGCAGCATCATTTACAAGGGCCAAGATATGGAGGCAACACAATGTGAGTATCTATTGACAGATAAATGGATAAGAGAAATGTGGTATATATACATGATGGAATATGACCTAATCATAAAAAGGAACGATATCTTGCCATTTACAAGAGTATGGATGGACCTAGAGGATATTATGCTAAGTAACTGAAAGACAAATACCCTACAATTTCACTTATATGTGGAATCTAAAAAACAAACAAAAAAAACAAATGCCAACTCCAACAACAAAAAGGGAAACAGACTCATAGAGAACTAACTAGTGATTGCCAGAGGGGAAGGCAGTGGGGGATGGGTGAAATAGGTGAAGAAGATAAGGGAATAAACTTCAGTCACAAAATAAATCATGGGGATAAAAAGTGCAGCAGAGAGAATATAGTCAATAATACTGTAATAACTTTGTACGGTGACAGATGGTATGTTAGACTTATCCTAGACTTACCATGGTGAGCTTTTTATAACGCATATAATTACCAGATCACTATGTTGTATACCTGAAACAAATATTCTATGTCAACTATACTTCAGTTAAAATTTTAAAAAAGAATATTTAGTTGTTTATTCAGGCTTCACTAGGGCACAGTCCTCTTTCATGGGAGAAATTGCACAAAAAGTCAGAAGAAATCAAGGGACGATCCCTTTAGGAAGTAACCCATGGCATACCGGACATTATGGTTGCATCACCCTCATATCCAATAAAATCCTACAGCGTCCAGGCAATATCCCAAGAACTTTCTAAATTTAAAAAAGCCACATTTGATGTCAGTTATAGGAAGGAATTTTAAGAGGCGGCCCTTAGCCTTCTATAAAAAGTCAAACTGCTATTCCCTATTCCTCTATTAGAACAGAATATACAGTAAATCACAATTTTATCACAACCAAACCTTAGGCAAATTATTTCCATTTCAGATATTTAACTTAATTGGGAAAGTAAACTTATTTAAAATTTTTCTCCAGTAAGGGACTGGATTCTATAAAATTAGAAGGAAGAGAAAACAGCTAAGACTATATTTCTACTTTTAAAAGAATTTGATTTAAGTTGTTTTTATCACCAATTACAATCTACATACCTGTGTGACTACGGATATGAACTCTCAGTGTACCACTGCTGGCAAATTTCTGGCCACAATATGGGCAGATTTTCTCCTTTTCTCCTGTATGTGTCTAAACGGAAAGGAATAAAAAGGGTCGAGGATAAATATAAAGAATTAGGTAAAAATGATTAAGTGCCTCTGACAATGGTAAATCCTTTTTTTCCAGGATTATGTTTCATTAAAATGATTTAGTATCACAATGAGATTTTAAACAATTTATCATGAGTATTCCCACTGGTTCAAAAAAAAAAAAAAAACAAAACAAAAAAACAAAAAACCCAAAACCTTAGACTCATGCATTAGTGCTAATTTGAAAATAATTCTGCAGTTTACTTTTTAAGCCTTTATGGAGTCCCCCAAGTAAAAACGATTAAGTTATACAAAACCAGTATATGCTGGCAAAACCACATAATCAAAATGGGGTTACAGCTCCTTTGACTGCTGCCAAGAAACACTTCCTTAGAAGCATTTTTCACATTCTTTGTGTGTATTTAACTCCTGAGAACAGAATTAATCTCAATAAAGTAATCTGTTATTTGCATTACGCTTGCCTGACTGGATTGATTTTACGGCAAAGCAGAAAGGAATATAAATCTGACTTGATCTTGAAAATCAGCAGGTGTTAACTGAGCAGTCAATTTGAAAGAACATCCTTGCCCTCAACATACCTTAAATCTCAGCATAAAACAGCCACACAAGGAAAGGTGAATATGTATCATCAAAAGTGATTTTTTTTTTTAAGATTTCATTTATCTATTCAACAAACAGAGATCACAAGTAGGCAGAGAGGCAGGCAGAGAGAGAGAGGAAGGGAAGCAGGCTCCCCGCTGAGCAGAGAGCCCGACATGCGGGGCTCAATCCCAGGACCCCGAGACCATGACCTGAACCGAAGGCAGAGGCTTAACCCACTGAGCCACCCAGGCGCCCCTCATCAAAAGTGAATTTTGACAGAATGTTAGAGATTTTAAAGAAAAGAGCAAGCTCTCCCCCCCAAAAAAGGAGACAGATGGAGCTTTTAAAACTTGTCTCACAATCTCATCAGGAGACCTTATTCTACCAGCATCCAAAATAGGTCATTGCAATAAATGAGAAGTCAGAGCTACTTTTCAAGTCCCATTGTTTTTCAAACTTAGGAGAAGGGGAAAAGAAGGGAGAAGAAGGAAATTACTTCAGATATCTGAACACTGTCAGTGACACTTTAAAAATTTTTTTTTTTTAATTTCAATGATGACCTACACATTAACGAAAGCATACAGCAGATCATCTGGGTTACTACCACAACACAGAGTTTCTAGGGCCTGTGTTTGCATTAGGTTTGTGCAAATTACTGGCATTGCCATGGGCTAATGTAAAAAGAATGGGAAAGTTTTTTTGTGTTTTTTTTTTTATATATGTTCCCAGAAGGGACACACTGGCAGGGATAGAGAGAAAGGAGTAGGGCAGTCTCATCTCAGAAAACCACCAGTGTAGCAAAACATTCTCCATATTAATTGCTAACTTTAATATAATTAGTTTCATAGCCTTATTGGCATTTAATTTGAAAATTTCCACATTTGAATTATAATCTGCATTTGGATAGATATTATTGTATTTGTGGTTTTTAAAACAGTTATAAACTAAATACCTTAGTCAACATCAGTGTCCTTTTAAATATTTTTCCATTGAAAATGATTTATATTATATTCAAATTTCAAAAATCTAGTCTAACCAACTGCCACACTAGCCAATGACACTGGCTACAACAGACATCTCCTTGATTCTCCATTTGGCAGGCACTTAACTTTCCATTTTCAATCTAAGTTCTTATACAAAACAGTTATACATTCTTTATAGTAAGAGCCGTTACTCCCATGGTTCCCATTATGGCTCATTTTAAAGGAAATGGTATAGCACTTTAACATAGAGCAGACCTATATTCTACTCATTCCCTGACAGAAGGGGCAAGATACATCAATTCTTTCTTGACTAGTGTACGGTTGCTTAGAAATTGTGTATATCTATTATTAAAACATTGGATTATTCCAAAGAGGCAACTACCAATTTATTTATTGTATCTTTATAAAATCCACAGAATTTCTTTTGCTGCTACGTAAGTATTTCATTGCTCACTTACATGACCTGACTTGTCAGTGGTACAAGGTTCAAACCAAACAACATTCAGTCAACAATAGTGAAAAGAATTAAAATGCTTCTTTGGTTTAATTCAATAATATATCTTATTATTAGGTATGGAATTTGGTTAACTGGTTTTAAAAGACATTTAAGGTATAACACTAAAATATCTTAAATATAGATAAGAAAGCATGGAAACAGATCACTATGACAATATTGGTAAATGTATGAGACAAACACAAATAATGCTCTGCCACGACAATCTGTGATTGTGGACAAACAACTATTATCTCTCTTGAAAACTCACTATTTTTTTCCCAGGTTGATTAAACAAGACACAAATTTATTAAATTCATACAAAAAAATAATTCAAGCAAAGAAAGGTGAAAAACTATCCTCTCCAGAAATTTGAAAAGAGGAGACAATATTATTACTGAACATTAAAGAAACAGGTAATGGACAATTCAGTCCTTTGACACAGCCACACTAAAGACAGGTACCAAAATAAAATTCACACTGAAATACAAGTCACTTCCTCACATTCACTTAGCAGTGCACACTAAGTAGCCACATCTATGACACTTCATAGTCATTTCTAAAGTCAACATTAAAATCTATAATGGTGTTTGTTACATATGAACATTGCTATTTTTGAAATACCCTTAAAATGTACTTACAAACCAAATAAAAATAACCTCTTGATTTGCTTAAAGTAATTAGCATAACACAAAAAAGATAATCTCCAAATCACTGTAAGAACCTCATTTTATTTGAGTTAAGCAAATACTTATCAAGTCCCTCTTCTGTACCAGAACTTCCCTAGGCCTAGAGATGCAAGATGAAGAAGAACAGTTCCAATCTAGAAAAGAGCTCAATCTAATAACTTGTCAATAAACACCTGAATTAGCTCTGAAAAATAAAATTAAGGCACTGATCATTTTTTAAGTAAAAACCTACATTAATTCAAAAATGTACAAAAACTGACAAGCTTTCACTCATCAAATACTTTGTACAACCCATCTATCACCATAGCTCAGTACTGTGGTGAAGAACTCACACCTCAATCTAGGTTCACCTTCATCCGAATGATATACCTCTTCTGAAAAAGTAAAGAGAACAGACATTTTCTGAAGAGCTCATATAAACCATGCATCCCTTGTCATTTGGAGGAAATATGTTGACTAATTAATATAAAATTGATTATCACATTATAACTAGCATGCATGCCCATGTTGTTGAAGTATGTAATTCATTCAAACGCACAGAAGGCTTCTACTTACTTTCTTATGACTTCTAAGCACTGAAGGTGTAACAAACGCCTTATTACAGAGCTCGCATCTGTATTTCTTGTGTCTTTCATGGACCACCTGGACATGAACATTCAAGGTATCCTTCCTTTTAAAGGTAGCGTCACAGTGATGGCACTTGAAAGTCCTCTCACCTTAGAAATGAAAACATTAAATAAAAGAAAGATCAGATGCAAGAGCCGAATGATGTTATCTCCCCCTCATGGGTACCAGATATAGTGTTCTTTTCTCCAAAAATTTAGTCTTATTACTAACAATTTATTACAGCCAGAAAAGGTAATTTTTCACATCCTTCAGTTCCACATTTGCTCATTCATTGTGTGACCAGCGGGAAGTGCTTGAACCCTCTTACATTCTTAGACTCTTTAACTAGAAAAGGTGGGGACTCAATTAGCTAACTTTCTAAAGGAACCATGAACTTTCTTTAGAAGTAGTAGGTCTTTCTCGGGCAGTGGCTCAGGGTTGAAGTAGATTCTCATGGTGACAAAAGGCTTCTGTCAAGCAGAGTAAGTGGCCTTTGGGGCCTCTCCTAAACTCCCCTCACTCCCACCACAGCCCCTATGGCCTTTAAGGGACAGGGCAGAATAGGGTCATGGGTAGCAAGGTGCGGAGTGAAGCCCCCCACAGGCACACAGAAATGGGTCAGAGCCAGACGCCTGCTAAGACAGGAGAGGGCTACGACACCCCTTCCTTCCTCAGTACTATCTCAGGAATTTGGACTAGAGGCTCCCTAACATGGTCCCTGGTCTGCTAATTAATTTAATTACCTCCCAGGCTCTCATCAGACAGGTTGGGGGGTTGCCTCTCAGAAAGGCAGCTGGACTGGGGCAACTACCCTTTTCTACCCTAGAGCCCCTGGGTACCTGTGAGGATATTCACCTTGTTCTCATTTTATAGCCTCGGCCCACAGGGAAAGCAACTCCACAAACTCTGTTTCGGGATGTATGGTATGGTATTTTTTAAACTTGCATATGCATGGACGTACATGATTATGTAAGTAAGACAGATTAGTATTTGAATATATCTTCCCCTTTTAAAAAACAATTATATTAGCACAGATTTACATATTATATTCACTATGAGACAAAAGATAACTTTCTACATTGAACTAGATTACCTCAATTTCAACCAAACTCTTCCTACTTCCCTCCATTATAACCAGCACAGACTTAGAAATGTGAAGAGCCTACTATTCCTTCATACCAAATTTAAGGAAGGAAGGACAAAAAGAGGTGAAAAAGAAAAAAAGAAAAAGATAAATGACGCTTTTCAAACAGAATTATGGCTCTTTAACTTAAAATCTTGGAGCGCCCTGATGGAATCTGATGCTTGGAACAAAGTTACATCCAAACCATGCAAGAATTGTGTAGATTCTCAGAGCTATGTTTATACATTGCTGGGTACTGTCACTATAATCTAGTTTGTCTTTATATATCATTTTAGATTTAAATACCTCATTTGTATAAAACATATAACCAGTAAGAGTAAAAGAAATGATCAATAACATAAGATTATAAGTAAAGCAAAGCAACTCAGGAACAATGAAAAAACAAAAACAAGGGTTGCCTGCGTGGCCTAGTAGGTTAAGCTTCAGACTCTTGGTTTCAGCTCAAGTCATGATCTCAGGGTCACTGGGTCCAATCCTGTGTCTTAGAACTCTGTGCTCAGTGGGGTGTCTGCTTAGGATTCCCTTCCTCTCCTTCTCCTTCTGCCTCTCCCTGTCCTCCTCTCAAAATAAATGAGTAAATGTTTACAATTAAGTAAATAACAAAACAAAACAAAAGTCATTCTCCAAGATTTCTCCTATTAAAGCATTTCCGTTAAACTATCACATGAATCAAAATATTGATTCCTATACAAAAACCTCATCAAGCTATACCAAGGGAGTCCTTACCTTTCTCCTTTCAAATTTTAATTCCAGATTTCTTTGTTTTAAGCTTATCAGAATTTTTTAACTCTGAAGAGATTTTATCTGATGTTATCAGATTTCTTTGCCTTAAAGAAATAAACATAGGATTAAAGATAGGATTTTTCCTATCTTAAAACCAAGAAGCTAGCTAGTAACCTGCCTTTTGGTTTTCCATGTTAGAAAATAGCAGTAATTTCCAAAATAATTATGACGTTATTCTTCATATTTTGAGCCAGAATACTGATATAAGTTTCTAAAACAGCCTGCATGTTTTGAAGTTAAATAGGTTTTCATTTTCATACTGTATAAGATAACATCTAGTATTTTGTCTTACTCTGTCTCCTTCTGGTTTTTCCTGTCCTTTTAGCTCATTTGCCTTATCTGATGTTTAATTTTACCTTCAATAACCCACTTGCTCAGTCAACTACAAAGCTGACTTCCCAGCCAAATGTTTTGGTGCAGCTTCATAAAGCCTGTGATTAATGTGCTGACCAACATTATATTAAAGACAGAATGTGCAAACACAGTCCACACCGCTGCGTCAATCCTCTGCTTCAAGTGTATGGAAGCCAATCAGCAGAAATCAAAATTAGTAGGTTCCTTATAATAAAAATTCCTTGTTATTGAAACTAATTTTCATCTATCCAAACAAAAATTTCCTGAGCATACAGGCCAAATTTGGCCACAGAAGTCTTAATAGTATGAATGAGGTTCACGCACCCCAATTCCTACTCAAAAATCCATTCATCCCATAATGACTTTTTTTCTTAATCAAATGAGAGCGTGATGGGATGGAAATTACTGCTGTTACAGGGCAAATTTTCTTTTCTTTTCTTTTTTTTTAAAGATTTATTTATTTATTTGAGAGAGAGACAGAGATAGCAAGGGAGAGCATGAGTGGGAAGAGAGGGTGAAGCAGGCTCCCTGCTGAGCAAGGAGCCCCAATGTAGGACTTGATCCCAAGACCCTGGGATCATGACCTGGGCCAAACGCAGCAGCTTAATCAACTGAGCCACCCAAGCACCCTAAATTTTATTTCTTAAATGCATGGCTGTCCTTAATAAAGAAAGAGAAAGTTGTGTTGACCAATTCTCCAGAGCTGTAAGGTCAAATGCAGAGTGGCACAGACGTTAACACTACCTTTTCTGTAGGAAAAGAGGCATTTCGTCATGATCTTACCACTTAGTATTTTCAAAAACTTGAAGTAAGTCAAGCAGAGAAAGCCAATTATCATATGGTTTTACTTACTTGTGAAGCATAAGGAATAACACAGAGGACATTGGGAGATGGAGAGGAGAAGTGAGTTGGGAGAAATTGGGGCAGGGGAGACAAACCATGAGAGACTGTGGACTCTGAGAAACAAACTGAGGGTTTTGGAAGGGAGGGGGTGGGGGGTTGGGTGAGCCTGGTAGTGGGTATTAAGGAGAGCACAGATTACATGGAGCACTGGGTGTGGTGCATAAACAATGAATTTTGGAACACTGATGAAAAAATTAAATTAAATTAAATTTAAAAAAAAATACTATCTTTGGCATTTGGAATTGTAGACACTTCTACTTGACCAGAGAAAATTTCTTCCAAGATACTGTCTTATCTGTACTGTTGTCATAACTGATTAATTGTTTTACTTTCCTCAGAAATATTAAAAATTTAATCAGCAGTAGTAACTTTGTTTCAGAAGATGTTCCAAGGATTAAACAACTCAAAAGCAAACAATTCAAATATCACCTACATTATGCCATTTTCTTTACTTTTAGATACAGTAATGTAACAAATGTCTGGTTATTTCCATATCTGAACACAGAACTCACTTTAAAACTCAGCTTAGCAATAGCATTTTCTCTGAAATAACATAATATAAAGTGTCCTTTCAGCGATGTGGGTATAAGGTGTTGTATTCTAAAAATAGCTCTTTGCATAGTATGTATGTGTATAACTTCTCCCAAAAGAAAAAGAAGTATTCCTGCCAAAAGAAGTTAAGAAGTCAGAGGCAGCATATAGTAAGAAGAGAAAGCACCTGACTGAATCTGGATGCTGTCTCCAGAGCTAGAACCCCGCATATGTCACCATGTTTCTCTGGGTCTGCATTTTCTCTACTCCCCTCGCATTAACAGGTTAAATTAGATGTGCACTCTGATCCTATCCAACTTGAAAAGTCTGTGAGCTAATAAAATCATGCCAGACATCTGCATATTTTAACCATTATACTTAAAAGGGAACAAAAATGTCTATTTCAGACAAATTTCAAAGATACTTTACTGAACATAAGATTTTATATACAAACCTTAAATAGTGGAAAGAAATGATATAAAATAAAATGTCTCATAAAACAATTTATCTTTATGTGGGAAAATAAAGCAAGAATAAAGGAAGAAAAGGAGAAAGGCAGAATTACCAGTCCTTTTTACATTCAAAAGCAGATCATGTAACTATATACAGGTCCACTTTTGTGACGCCAACATTCTCAAGAGTTATAAGAACGAAGTTTGAGATAATTCAATTTGCCCTCAACTGCTTGTTTTGTGACTTACTGTTATGTATGAGCAGGTGTCTCTGCAAAGAAAATGGGGTTCGGAACAAAGCTTTACATTCCTCACATTGGAATGGTCTCTCTTCAGAATGCGTCTGCAGATGAAAGAAACTGAGTCAGGAGGGTCTAGAATCATCTAGTCGTGACAATAATTGGAACTTGTATTCATGATGCGTAGAGGAAGGGAAAGGTAGACAGTATCTTGTTTCTTCTGGTGACATTCTTTTACCATAAAACCGTAAACACAAATACACTATGTTCACAGGAGAAAAACAACTCTATTTTTAAATTCTCACATTAATTATGTATTTGATAAATAATAAAGGAAATTATTTCTCTAATCTCAAAATGCTAATCTGAATATACCCAGATTTCTCAGGATTTACGCTGCAGAGTAAAATGATTTATACTTTCTCTGAAGACTAAACCTTCATTCTTACTGGACAGGCTTTCACTATGGTAGTACAACACTTTCAAAATAATCAAAGGAAACTGGTAAAAGGAGACAGTTTCCACCTTCTCCCCTCAACATCACTGAATAAGTTCCAATAATTTTTAGTCCTAGATACCATTTCCCCCTAAATTAAACTAGAACATTTACTCATACTTAAACCAAGTAACATTCATTAAATATTTATTTTGTGTCACTGCTACACTCAACATAACACTTTACATGAATTTTTTAACTTAATTCTAACATTAATTTGATGGACAGTATGCTATTACTGTCCCCATTTTACAGTAACTCAAAGAGTTACAATAACTTGCCAGAGATCAAACAATGTAGACGCAGCAAGTACCTTTAAACACGGAACAAACAGAAATACACTGAGAAACAATAAACAACAGAAAACCAGGAATGAAAACAAAGCAAACAACAAAACAGTATGCTTATTCACTTCTCCTGTTTTTTTAATCACACATCAGTATTAACCTGTTTGGCACAAGTCAGCATATAAAATCCTATTCTACCATTGGAATTTATTCAGATAAATTCTAAAAACCAAAAATTGAACTATATTCTCTTATGATAATAAAACACATCATATAATTCATTAGTTTTTATGATACATGTGGCATAAAAATAAGGGGAATAAATAAAGCACTTTATTCACAGCATAAAGATTTAAAAATTTTCTTAGTTTAATGTACATTGTAATATTCAAGATGTACATATTACATATTAACATAACGTTGGTGAAAAGGGATTACCATGTCTGTTTTCAGTTGTAAAAAATATAGAGAAAGGATGAGGGGAGCTAATATTTAAAACTTGAGAAAAATTACATGTATTCAAGTGTGTTATTTAGCCTTATAAATGAACAAAACTGGGAAAAAATAGAAAAAAGAGTAAGTTTCTTTCACTACATAAAATATATGGACACTTAATATAGCAAAACATGGCATTTCAAATTGGTAGAACAACAGTGGACAGTTTGGTAAATGGTTTTGAGGCAACTGTATAGATATTTGGGAAAAAATTAAACTGGATCTATTATTCATTCACCCCTTTCAATAAATCCCATTTCGATTCAGGTTTTTTTTTCAAATGTGAAGAACAAATCCTCAATATACTAGAAGAAAATATGAGTGAATTGTTAAATACATTTTGAGCAGGAAAAGGCTTTCTAAGCATGGCAGAAGCTCAAATATGCAGATGAGAGAAGGCATTAAATTTAAAATCATAAGGCAAAAATGTTTGGTGGTAAAGAATATTTGCAATATGAAATAAAAATTTTAAGCTGCTAATATAAAGAATTATGGCACATTTACAGGAAAAGATGAAAACTCAAAAAAAAAAAAAAAAAGGAGGCAAAAAGATTCCTCCAAGTAGCGCTCTTGCAATCTCCTTCATTACTTATTTTGTGCCCAGGCCATGCTATGCACCTCATGCCCTTATGTGTCAGTCCTGTTTTACACACGGGGGAGATAGCAGTAAAAACAGAAGACTAAGTCCTAGCTATCAGGAAGCTCTGCCACTGGCGAGGAGAAAAAGACAATGAACAAACCATAAAACATGAAGTACATGCTATAGAGAAAAATAAAGAAGGGAAAGGGGATAGCAAAAGTTTCAAAGAAAGGAGTAGCAATTTAAGCAGAAATTCTAGCTGAGAAGGTGACTCGAGAGAAGAACTGATGAACTGAGGGAACAAGGGCACGTCTCCCTCTGAGGCCTCTGGGCAGGAAACACCACGAAGGCCAGTGTGGTGGAGTAAGAGGAAGAAGCACAGAAGTGGGGAGATGAGGCTGGAAAAAAATGGGAAAAGAAGGAGAAGGAGAAGCAAATCGTGTAGGATCTGGTTGGGCACTGCAGGAATTTTGCTTTTTGCTGGAAGAGATAAAAAATCTCAAATGAGTCTTGAGCCGATGACATTTCATAGGATGCTAAGGTGGGTGTGTTGAGAACAGGAGAGGGGGGACACGGGAAAGCAGAGAACCCAGAGAAGCAACAGCAAGAAACCAAACAAGAGATAATCAAGTCCTCCATCAGAGTGGTAGCTACCAATGTACAAAGAAGTGGTAGATTTCCAGATATATGATGAAAGTTAACAGGTTTTTGTGGAGAGACTTGAATCTGAAGCATGAGACACAGGAAAGAAGATCTAAGATTGTGACCAGAGCAATGGTAGGACGGATCAGCCACCAGAAGAGCAAGCAAGAAACAGGTTTGCTGAAAGATAAGGGGCTCAGTTTGGGGTGGGTTCAAATGACTAGTCAAAGATGTCTAGTAGACAGTGGAACATTTCAAGTCTGCATCATAGTGTAGAACATTTGGGGATGTCAGACTATATAGTTTTGGGGCACCTGGCTGGCTCAGTGGGTTAAGCCTCTGCCTTTGGCTCAGGTCATGATCCCAGGGTCCTGGGATTGAGCCCCGCATTGGGCTCTCTGCTCAGCATGGAGCCTGCTTCCTCCTCTCTCTCTGCCTGCCTATTTGTGATCTCTCTCTGTGTCAAATAAATAAATAAAATCTTTTAAAAAATTAAATAGTTTCAGTATTTAAACCCATAAATATAATGAGAGAATGAAAGTTAAAAAAACAAACAACTCTCTGTGGTATATCAGATTGGCAGAGGTAAGGAGAATGGATATTACTCATGGTTGACAAAAGGAAAAGATCGAGCAATCTCATCTCTTGTAACCAGGAATGTACATTTTCTGAGTGGCAGTGTGGCTCTATTGACCCAAAATGACAAACAGACACAGTCTTTGACTAACCAACTCCCTTGGCAGACATAGATCTGGCAATTATCTACATAAACAAAAACTTAAAAAAAACAAACAAACAGCTAAATGCCTACTGACAGATATAAACCTGGTTAACTAAATTTGAGTGGCTACTGTATATTTATTTTGATATGGAAAACCCACTAGAACATATTTTGAGTGTCAAAAGAACAATGCAAACAATTATAGGTAGAATACCACAGGCCGCAAACATACACACATGTAGAATGGGGTGTGGGAAGATATCCTATGAAACACTGAGGAGGGTTTTCATAGTAAAGCAGAGAGTGGTATTTGATGGAGCCTTTGCTTTCTTCTTTATACCTTTCTTTGATATTTAGTTTTCTACAAAGGGTAGATAATATTATTACAAAAAGAAAGAAGCTTTTGTCTTTAGAGCATCCATATTGGAACAAAGGGTTGCTTTAGTCTTCCAAAAGTATATTCCACCCTAACCAATTCTTTCCCTTTTTCCAAATCTAGGACAATATGACGTGTGGCTATGATTTAGTAGCTTGATGATGAAATAACTTGGGATAGCATGAAGGCTCACACCTCTGTTAACCAAACCAAAGCCACAACATCTAGATATGGCCTGAAATCAAGAGCTATTTTATGTAGTTAAGCCGTTAGTGCACAGCCAGGTGAATAAATATTTCTGTCAAAGATTCCAATACCACCAACAGAGTTGTGATGGCATGACCTGTCAAAGTCTCAGCATAATATTCTTTACGAGTACAGATAAAATTCAACTTTTTAAAGGGCGCTTATGCTTCCATTTTTCATCACTAAAGGGTGTCAAACTTTTCACTGACTTATTAATTACATTATCCTCCCCCCTTAAATGCCAAGTCACTGATGACATAACAAATGAACTTGTCCATGAACTGTACGTATATCTTATTATGTATCATATCATATATCTTTTTACGCACCAAGTCTGATTGTTGTTGCAGATGTAGAAAACACATAAGAAAATGTGTTCCACTATTTATAACACCTAATAAAATGTCTCAAGAATGCTTCAGGTTTTCAACATAATTTTTATACAATCATCACCAAATTAGCACGTTTCTAGCTGTATAAACCAAATATTAATTTCATGAGAACAGAATAAAATTCTCTTTGAGCCCATTCACAATTAAAAATTATAACCTGGACTATCACCAATATATATTGCTCTGTAGTAACAGTATTATTGGTAATGATATTTCTTCTTTGGGTCATGTACAAAGCAAGAAACTATCTTAAAATTCAGGGGAAATAACAGAGATAAAATAAATTTGTATAAAATATTCCTGAGATACATGTGTCAGAACTATTCTTTTTTCTTTAAAAAAAAAAAAAAAGAGTTTTGTTATTGAAGTCTCAAGTCTGCATATCATAAGCATATTACGATCCCACTGGGTCACATAATAAACCTAAAGCTGCATAAAATGTGCGTCATCTGGCTGTTTACAAGGTCCGTGGATTAAATTTTTACTGTCAGATTTATAACTGGCTTCCTTAAAGGGCCTCGTCCTCGCAAAAATGAATGGAAACTAGAGAGATATCAAAAAAAGAAGCTCAGTGCAGGAAAAGGTAGCTCATTTCACACAGATAAGTTAAGATTATAAAACGGAGGTTATGCTCTTACAAAAGTATAGCCTTTCATGACCAAGCCCAACCTTTCCTCTGCTTGAAAAGCCACAATTCCATTAGTACAAAGCCATAACTCCATGGAGCCAACTACTAAAGCCTCAAGTTTATACCCTGATCAGGGCAAAGGGAAATTGCTAAAAGAAGGAATAATCACAGACTTATAGAAGTCTTCCTTGGAGGACAGCAATTCAGACTACCACTCAGGGAGTTCTCCCTCATACAACAC